TCTACTCTGCAAATTCTTTATACATGGACTCTAATACTGGCCATTTGTGGGAAGCATTATCTTGGTGCAGAGCACTTGAGCTTTCCTCTGTGACCAGTGTTCTATGAAGGTCACTTCCCAGCTCCATTAACAATAAAAGAAAGAAAGAAGATTCAGACATAAAATACTATCAGATTTCAAAGCAGCGTTGACTGGGGGTTTACGGAGACACTATGTATGAGTCACAGTAGGAGAAGGCAAAGCCAAGGAATTGCCGGGTAGTTTGGATACTGTGTTTATTCTGGATAGACCCCTTGCTAAGCCTGTCCACCCAGCTTGAAATAACTGTGCTGTGGCTATCCAAAGCTCACAGCTTCCTTCCCTAGGGAACCACCCCAGTCACATAGGAAGTGCTGTCTTCCTGCTGTCTCAGGAGCAGCAGGCTTAGTGAGGGGCCCTGGTAAGGTAATGACCATGGGGTGACTCCCTGGGTGGCCAAACAGCAGCTCAGAGAGTTGACGAGGGTGAGTACTCTGGACTCTGATTTTGACTGCATCCTTGTTTAGCCTCTTTCCTCATCCAATCCTGAAAGTGATTGATAGATCATTGCCTCCGGTCTGGCTTTCTGGAAGCACGCCCCATATGGGAAATGTATTCCTTTCGGTCACCGAATCAGAAGGACTAGAAGATGATTAGAATGACAGGCATACGAGTTTGGAAAGCTTACCACCAAAAGGAGTATGCTCTGACATTTCAGGGGGAGGTTAGATTTCTATCTGAAAGATACACTATAAGAACCAGAAGAAAATTGCCAACAAGCCAGCATGGGCAGATAATGGTGGGGACAGCATCCCTCCCAGGCTTGGGTTTGTAGTCATCATAGCCTGGTTCTCTTTGGCTCTTCCCAAGCCCTTCCCTACATAGTCTTCCCCCCCCCACCTACCTCCTCTTATCTTAGGGCTTGAACTCAAGACCTGGACACTGCCCTTATACCTTTGCTTTTTTTTTCTCTCTCTCAAGGCTAGCACTCTACCACTTGAGCCACAGCTCAAGTTCACTGGAGATAAGAGTCTCATAGACCTTCCTGCCTAAGCTGGCTTCAAAACCACAATCCTCAGATCTCAGCCCCCTGAGCAGCTGGGATTCCAGGTGTGAGCCACCAGCATCTAGCTTATACTTTGTTTTCTAGTCAGCCCTTGATTTCGGTTCTAGGTTCCTAGATTCAGTACCTTGACCCTTAGTACTTGCCTACCCTTCCCTGCCTTGTCAGCCAGTCATCCTCACAAGCTATTCCCATCTGGACTCTTCTCTCTGAACATCACCTACATTTCTCCTTGGCCATAGTCCATCACGTCATGATTTCTATCATGACTCTGGGCTCTCCTGCTCGCCCTGTCCTGCTGTTGCCTGCTCCCAATATGACAAGCATGATTATCTAAAGGCCTATTTTTAAGAGCTTTTATAAGACAACCTGCAATTTCCTATCCTTCAATGGGAGAAAGCCTCTTGGTTCAGGAACTAAACAGAAAACTGTGAATCATTATGGGAGGGAGTACTTAATCCTCTCTGCTTTTGCTAGTCTCTGACATTGTTCAGAAGATAAGTAAATAACCCTGGAGCCAACACCAAAACAAAATGTAAACTAAATGGGCATCATGAATAGTTTGCACTTAACCAGCTTTCTTCTCTTTGTGCTAATGTGGAATCATAAACCTACCATAGCTTAAAACAAAACGGATTTAGTTCTTTACCATTATAGAAGAAGTCAGAACGAAAGCTAGCATCGAATTATTGGTAGGCTGTGTGCTTTCCTCTCAGAAGGTCCTGAAAGAAATGATTTCATAGCCTTTGCTAACTATGTGAAGGCTGCCTGCCTTCCCTGCTTCTTGGCCCCTTTCTCCAGCTTCAAGCCAGTAATCACTCAAATCTCCCTCCTGGAATATCATTCTCCTGTCTTCTTTACACACACACACACACACACACACACACACACACACACTTGTGATTACCTTGAGCTAGGGTGAATAATATAAAACCACCTCCTTTTGTAAGATCCTTACCTGAATGACATCTTCAAAGTGTCCTTTGCCTGGTTCTAGGGATGAGAATGTGGGCAACCTGAGAGTGGGAAGGGAAGGAGGTGTAATTCTGTCTGTCATGTTTTCTGTTTTCTCCTAATTTTATGGCTGATTTCAAGAGCTCTGCTAATCCCACAATATATCTCCATGTAGTAAGCATTTCACCGACCTCATTTATGCCTCTTTGCGACTCGATTGTAGACCAGTTATCTTCTGGGGAAGCCATCTTTGACTGGGAAATAGCTACAGATGAGAAGTTTTATGTCAGATAGATTTAATTTTTTGTGCATTATTTTTTGTCTGTCTAGATCTTCAAGTTTCTTTATCCTTTAGAGTCAGTATCTTTATGAGCCTCGATTATTTGAATTTTTATAGATCTTAGTAAATGGATGGCTGGTCTCCTCCCCCCCTTCCTTTCCTCCCAACCTCTCCCCCTTTCTTTCTTCTCCTTTTCTCCCCTCTCCTCTCCTTAACTGTCTTCTTGCTTTCTTTCCCTTCCTCTCTTCTCCTCCCCTTTCCTTCCCCTCCCTTCTCTTCTCTCCTCTCTTGTTCATCCTCTCCCTCTTCTCCTCTTCCCCTCTTCTCCCCTCCCTCCTTTTTAATCTCTCAGAGTTCTGAGCTGCTCAGGTCATGTTCACTTTTGCTTAATTCTCTTTACACATGGAACCTGGTGTCACCCTCTTGATCACACTGTCACACATGTGAGCAAGGCAAGGGGCCTGGGGGGGGCATAGTTGGCCTCCGTCCCAGTGACACACATGGATTTTTTTAAAATGGCAGCCATTGAAGCTGAGACCTCTGCATTCACATCCTAGCTCTGTAGCTCCCATGATGAGCAACTTTGGACAGGTGACTTCACTTCTCTGAACCCCACCACTTTCTTACTATAACCACCATGGTGGCGCTGTGGAGCCTTGTTCAGCAAAGGGAAAATAGGCTCCTTTTGGTGACTGTTACTTTCCAAGCCCATCCATCCATCCATCCATCCATCCATCCATCCACATCTCTTCTCCAAATCAAGATGCATTCCTGGTGTTCACCACCATCTCCTCTACTTGTCAGTACTCTGTAATGAAAAAGGAAGTTGCCCGCAGTGTCTGCCACCTTCACATACTGAGTTGTTTAATCTCTTACTTAGTTTACTAAAGCCATGGGCCAAGTAGTGAACAGTTTCAACCCTACTGACTCCGCTTCCCCTTGCTCTGTCTTTTTTCCTGGTCATGTTGAGCAGTTTCTGGCTAGGACGGGGCTCTGGTTGCCTCCAGGACTCTCATGGCTTTTTAAAGATACCATTGACTTTATTATTGTGATGTGTAAAGATGATGTACATTTGAGACAGACAGCATAGAGACTGAGAGGAAGTCAAAAGAAGGAAAATGATCCCTCTGAGCTTCCATCTAGTCTGGAGCCAGCTTGCTGTTTAGCTGCCTTTAGATGAGGGCTTTGGTCAGTTTCCTGCCTTCACCCTTCATTGTTCCTGAGTGATGTAGGTGCTATTTCCTTTGCTCCTGCATAGCTGAACAGGTGTCTTGATTTGCTTCTGTGTCCCTGTTTTGATATGCCACAGATGAGAGATGGGCTGCAAGGCGATGTAGGCTAACAGAGTCAGCCAAGTGGTGAGACCATTTACATTGTGGAGGACGCATCCTGGAAGACTGAGGATGTGGCAGTCATATGACACAAGGGTTCCCTCAATCCAACAGACAATTAAAACCACTCAATTTCACTTGAATAGAACAAATGTAAGTCAAAGCGGGTAGAGAGGGAATAAAGTCTTGAGAAAGCATGTTTCACTTCAAGTTGGAAAGCCTGGATGAGAGACTTATTTGCTCTACTGTTTAGTTAACCTCTTTGACATTTGAATCTTTCTGAGAAGAGCAGCAGCAATGCACACCTCAAATAAGCTAGTGAGAATTACATGAAAATACTCAGTCTAGAGTCTGGCACATGTTAGGTGCTTAGTAAACGTTTATTCAAACAATACCTGTGGACTGCATCTTACCTGGAGCGTGTCTGAGTCTAAGGCAGAATATCAGACTCAGAATGCTAAACACAAAACACCTTGTGTATTCACCTTGATTCTAAGACTGTCTATGAATGTCTACCAAGTTGGCCTTGAAAATGAATAGAACAATGAGGTGTGGGAAGCTTACACTATGCCTCAAGGTTTTAAGAGAGAGGCGATATTCCCAGGGACCCAGGAAGCAGTGCATGGCCAGGACAGAAGAGGCTGAGAAGCCTCCTGTGCAGGTGGGGCTGGGTGTATGGCTCAGATACCAAGGCACCAGCTGTGTAAGTCAGGCCATCTTTTACCTCTCTACATGGGCTGAGTTTTCATTAATTTACCTAAACACATTTTTAAAGCAATACTATGGTTTCTGCTTAAATAATGAAGGGAAACAAGAAGGAGAGGGCTGAAGAATAAAGGACAGCCTCAAATGAGACTAAGCAAGAAGCCAAAGATACCCATCGCTCACACCTGTGATCTTCGAGGTTCGAAGATAGCCCTTGGCAGGAAGGTCCATGAGAGTCTTACCTCGAGTTAATCACAAAAAAGATGAAAGTTGAGCTCAAATGATTCATGCCAGCCTTGAGTGAAAGAGCTAAGAGATATGCCCAGGTCCTCAGTCCAAACCCCAGTACCAGTGTGCATGTGTACACACACACACACACACACACACACACACAACATACAAGGTGATTAGAAGGGACTTTTTGCCTTGTTTTCTTCTCACCAGGCATCCCGCTTCTTGCCTCCACTCAACAGCCAACTTTTTTTCTTGAGTCAGATCACTAGCGGAAACCATAGTGAAAACTCTCCATTATTCACAGGAAGTCCTGGGTCCTGGGACCATGGGAGTAGGGCCAGCACCCCTGTTAGAGGTTGCCTGGAAGCCAGGAATGCTATGATCTCCTCTCTTCTTCTCTTCCTCTGTCCTGCAGCAATGGAATGGCAGAGACACGGCTCTCATGGTCACTCGTGTGGTCAACCATAGACGCTTCTCAGCCACAGTCAGTGTGGCAGACACTGCCCAGCGCAGTGTCAGCAAATACCGCTGCGTGATCCGCTCGGATGGGGGGTCTGGTGTGTCCAACTACGCGGAGCTGATCGTGAAAGGTGAGTGCCACCGGTCCACAGGGCCACCTCTAGTTGGCTGGGTTGGAGGGCCTTTTCAACCCCATCCTTACACCCGGAAGTGTAAGAACACCTTCTTCCTGCTGTTACTCCTACCTGTGATGTGCTTTCCTGTTGCTCCCTCCCACTACCCCCAAATAGGAAACTTGTGATATCATGCAACATTGCATTACTGCTCAAGGCAGAAGCTAACATGTATGACACTTGCAGGAAAGCCTGGGTGACGGGCAGCACAGAAGACATCACTAAATTTGGTCTTAGTTTGTATTTAAAGTCAGGAAAACACTCACACACAACACAAAATCTATAGAAAACAAGTGTCCTTGGCAGTGTGCTGCAGCTGTGTTCTCGTACAATGGCTTCTAAGGGATATTTTAATTGAAAATTCTCTACAATGACAATATGTGTGTGGGGGGGGAATTTTTTAAATAAATGATCTTGGCCCTCGTTCGTCTTGATTTAGTTATTGGCAGTTTTCTTCCTCTTGTTCACCTTGAGTTATAGTTTGTATGCTTTCCACGAAAGCATACACATTGCTTCCTTGGCTGATTTTTCCCAGGAGCGGAGTATCCTACTTGTGTTTGATGCTTTCACTCAGTTGTGTTATCATACTTAATGGGTATATATTATTTCATCCAAAGCAGTTTCCTGGGCTTTTTTGTTGTTTGTTTATTTCAGATAGTGTTGCACTCTCTAGAGACTCTGCTTTTGAACTGCAGTCCTCCTGTCTCAGCTTCTTGAATGCTAAGGTTACAGACGTGTGCTGCTATACCGGGCTGCATTTTCCTGTTCCTAAAAAGTCACCTTATTTTCAGTTACTTAGGTAACTCCAGGTGTTCGTGTGTTTGTTTTTTGTTCATTTGAGTACATAATAATTAATGCCTCTTGCATTTGTAAAGAGAACATTTTTATTCCAGTGAGTGGATTCTTTTCCTTAGGACAAATTCTCCAGAGGTAAAGTTGGGAGGGTCAAAGCATAAGAACATCTTGATAGATTTTTCTTTGTGTTGCAATATTGCTTTTACAAAAAAAAAGAATTTGACAATTTATGCTGGCAACAGCAGTGTATGAATGTACTCATTTTGCCTGTGTTATGTTCACCGATTAAAATTTCAATATAACGTAATGTAGTGAATGAAATAATGAAGCTGCTTACATTACACCAGCTGTGGAACTGTTTTGGTGTGTTTGAAGAGGGGGGAAACATCGATCAATCCACTGAAGGCTTTGGTGTTGATTTTGCAAAGTGTGGGTTGGGGTGAAGGCTTGCTCTCTCTTTGTTGGCAACCATGTGATCCATCGGTGGCTTTACTGCCACCTGCATGGGGAATTGTTCTCGGGCTGTTTGACTCTAGATGGAGATGTGCATGGTTGAGGATGTACCATCACTGCGGACTCATTTTTAATAATAGCTTCTTCCAGAGAGCTCCCCTGTATCCTCTCTTGGTCACATTCTGTCTCACCCCTTGTCCTCTAGTCTATGTAGCGCCTATCAAACTATGTTAACAACTTCCCTTTATTTATTTTGGGTAGCTTTAGTCTGTCTTTTTAGGCTATTGCTCCCACGACAGAAGGAGAATTGTCTGCTTGGTTCTAAGTACTGCCACTCAGTGCACAGCCTTGGCATGGGTTCTGTGTATTCTGAGCCATGCAAACTGGCCAGTGGCCGACTATTTTGACTTGTGCAGTCAGTCATTTCCTAAAACATAACTTAAAACGTGGTGGAATGATGGATGAGTGAGTGAATTACTGGCCTCAGCAGGCATTCATTTAATCACTATAATGTCATGAGCACTTAAGCCAAAGATCAACCCATTGGGCAATTGTGAACCAAACTACTTTTATACACACAAAAAGTCATCTTTAAATTCATTTACATGAGGTGCCGTTAATCTATAAAAGAAGCCATCACTTTCATCGGCTCAGGCTCATTATCTGTGCTTTCTGGGTGTCATAAGATTGATTTGTGTGGCATCGTGGCCTTTGCAGTCCTTTTTGTGACTATGTCATTTCCTGAGCCGTCCCCTGGAAAACTGAATGTACTTCTCTCATGGCTCGCTTTCCATTCTGGACTGGGAGCTATAGAAGTGAATGTCCTGGTTTTCTTGAGTTCTCCATGGTCTTATAAACACCTAGCCTGGGCCTGGGGCAAAGTGAGTAACTGATAGAAGAATAAGGTGAATGAGCATGGGAATTAATGCAGCACTCTGATGTCTTCATGCATAGACAAATGAGACAAGAATATGTGTGGCTTACCCTTTCCATGTGTCCTCTATTTTTTTTCTTCCCTCCCTCCCTTGTAAATTAAAATTTATCATTTTTTAAACAGTATATGTTTTAAATATTGGAAAAAGCTGTATCTCTGATGCTTTTAAATCTTCATATAACTGCTACAAGAAGTCTAAGATTGACACAAATTTACCTTTGTTGCAAATAATGAAACTCATTTTATTTTGAGACAAGATTTGATTATGTAGCCCAAACTGGCACCACATTTATGATCTTCCTGCAAGAGGCAGATCATTTGATCGCAGGTAGGGGGAAAGAAGACTCCGACACAAAGTGTGCAGGAGCCCAGAATATACTAAAGCACCACTGCCTTGATTTGAAGAGGTGACCTCTGAAATGGCACTCCATCCTTTATTGGCTGTGCAGGCTAAGTCAGAGTTCACACTGGCCCCAGATGCACTGGGCACGAGTATCTGTGAGACCCAGAAGCCACCACTGCACTAAACCTCCTCATCTGCAGCTTCTGCCAGTTTAAGGCATGTTCTGGGTGGTACCTAGCTCCTTCACTGAGGATAATAGGTTGGAGCTCTCTGTAATCTTGCTTCATTATTACACCTTGATGAGATTCATCCATATCTTTGGCATAGAAATTTCACTTTTATTAAGGCCTATATCCATCTCATTTTAATATTTGGTTGGTGATAAGCCTCGAACTTGATCCCTTGAACGTTTTGGAAAGTCTTTCACGTATGCTATCTCATTTTATCTTAATTGCATCTCTGCACATTGGTTTTGTTTCAACTTCTTTTGTGGTAGAGAGAACACACACAGCCAGATTGACAACCCCAGGGCAGTCTTAGGAGAGACTTGGGTCTGGCTCACCCTGTTTAGGCCACACCTGGAGGGCCTAGAGATTGTGGTCCTGTTGGTAACCTGGTATCACAATTTTACAAACAGTGCCAAAGAGATGTAGATGGCAGACAAGCAAGCAGGGCTTATGCACTCAAGCTTGTGCTTTTGCATGTGTGTACTCTCTCTCTCTCTCTCTCTCTCTCTCTCTCTCACACACACACACACACACACACTTACAGAAAAGAGCATGAGCTAGTAGCATCCAAGCTAAACAAGAGAATGAAAGGCAGAGGCACCCAGAGGCAACTTGTTACCCAGGAGTGCGAACCCAGCAAGCATTTGGAGGCAGTGAACAAAAGCCTCTGGGGAAACTGTCTTCTGAGCGATGACTCACTTTCCCTCCTTCCACTCTTCCCCAAGAGCCCTCTGCCTTGGCTGAGTCAGGATGCATAAACATGCCAATACTGATGTATTCACATTTCTAACTAAGAAGTTCTACAGTAAAATATTCATTTACCCATTTTTAAGGAGAGGAGGAAAATTGAAAAACAATGCAAAAAGATTCTCCGGGGTCAAGCATTGTCTTAGGGGCTGAGGCAGGGCCCTGTGTCTCCTCCTCCTGAGCAATGGTAGATCTCCTCAGCACCCAGCATGGGCTGAGTGGCCAGGAGCCTCTGGCTGTCCCTGGCATGGCACAGAAAGAACATGATCCTTTTAGGGCTATCCTCCCTTGGTTCCTATCAGGACAGGACTCTGGGGCTGAGACACTCAGGCTTGAATCCTAGCCCCATCTTGCCCCAGCTCTGTGACCTTGAACGTGACATAAACTTCTCAGGGCCACAGCTGGCATATCTGGAAATGAGGATGTAAGATTCCTCTCTCAAAGGCTGTCGTGGGATAACGGATGCCAGAGTCCTGAGAATCACACCTTAGTAGACCTGCCAAAAATATTTAAATAAAGTAAATGACCCATCCAGGTAAGGAAATCCAGGAGGGATAGAACAACATTTTGAGTAGCTGGTCCTTTCTCCTCACAGGGTGATGTGTAAGGAAAGGGAGAGAGGGAAACATAAAAAGGGGGCATGGGGGCCTAGACATAGCCCCACCTGGGTCCTTCCTCCACTGAGCAGTGAGGAAAGCTCAGTAGCTGGCTGTCTTGTTGTCATCCATTCGGCCACATAGGCCCATCCTTTCCACCTGGCATCCTTAGAACTCTGGCTGTGGCTGAGAGCTTACAGGACTCAGTGTCTGAGGGTGCTGGGTGCTGGTGGTCCCTGTGAGGGTTTTTACAGACAGTGCTTGTGGCTGAACCCAGCGGTGGAGGGCCAGGTGGGGACTCTGCTTCTCCTCACACAGGTCAGCTAGCTCATGGCTGGCTGGCTCCTGGCCATCCTGGCACGATGAAGATCAGGGCTGTGGAACAGGCAGCCTAATTCGAGTGTAGGTAATATCAAATTCTCCGGGTGACACACAGACTGCAATGAAAGCAAATTGGAATTACTTAATTCCGAAGAGCTGTTTATTGAGTTGCGATAATGTACTGGGTATATGTTAGATTACTCTGTAATTGAGGTTTTTCTCACTTGACAACCCAGCCCCTCAACCTACCTGTTCCAGGCCAGTGCTCCCGAGCGCACTTATTTTCTCTCTCTCTCTCTCTCTCTCTCTCTCTCTCTCTCTCTCTCTCTCTGGTCTTCTGAGTATCTTCTATTTCAAAGTGTTTTAGCTCCACTCCACGACGAGCATGCCTTCGACCAAAGCTATTCAGCTGCATCCGATGAAATGATTCTAATTCATCAGTCTGTGGGTGGTGATTTTTAAACCAGTTCTCCAGTTTTATTTAACAACTTCCCCAGTGCCCAGAATCCCTATCAATATGGGGTTAGTGTCTCAAAAATACA